AGCAGGGGAGGCTGGGCAGGGCAGGGCAGATGCTGCTTGCTTTCTTGCCCACTATTGCTTTCTCAGCACCAAGGCAGTCACAACTGCAGGTCCTAGGTCTTGCTTCATGCATGTACCGGGAGGTCCTTGGGATGGGTGGTCTGAGGAGACTTACTAGTACCGAAACTTAAATGTCAGGGAGGAGGCAAATTAACCAGGCAAGGTGTTGTCTGCTTGTAATTCAAATACTGGTGAGGTTAAGGGAGAATGATCTCAGCAAAGACCAGCCTATATATTAAAGTGTCATCCCCATCCCTACCCCAACCCCCAGACAGGGTTTCTCTGTAGCTTTGGAGCCTGTCCTGGAACTCACTCTGTAGACCAGCCCTCAGAGAGATCCACCTGCCTCTTCCTCCCAAGTGCTGGGATTAAAGGTGTGCACCACCAATGCCTGGCTTCTATTAAAGGTCTTTTTAAAAACAAAAAAAACTCAATAAGATTGGGGATTTTCCTCAGTTGGTGGAATGCTTATAAAGCATTCCACATGCCCCAGTACTGTATTTTTAAAAAAAGCTGAGGTGGAGCACACCTGTAATCCCAACACTTGGGAAGCAGATCTCTGTGACTGGTTTACATAGCAAGTCTCAGACACCCAGCGTGATATAGTGAGATCCTGTTTAAAAAAAAGTTGTGATTAATCTGTGGTGTTGGGGACAGAACCTGCTAGGTAAGTGTTCTGTCACTGAGCCCCATCAGAAGACCTTAGGATGCTTGAGGGTGGTGGCCTTGCTTGGGGAGTGAGTGTGTAGCAGATGAGAGTTGCTGGGAAGAGGGTGGTAAGGGGCTGTAGGCTGAAGGGAGAAGAATTGAGCTTTCCTTGCCTACAGGGTTTGCCCTGCCAAACCCTTTCCTGCCTGCATCTCAGATGCATCTCTACCTTCTCTGTCTTCCATTCTCAGTGCCATGGCAGAACAAGATGTGGAAAATGAGCTTTTGGATTATGATGAAGACGAAGAGCCCCAAGCACCCCAGGAGAGCACTCCAGCTCCCCCGAAGAAAGATGTCAAAGGGTCTTACGTCTCCATTCACAGTTCTGGTTTCCGGGACTTTCTGCTGAAGCCAGAGCTCCTGAGAGCCATAGTTGACTGTGGCTTTGAGCATCCTTCAGAGGGTATGCTACCTGGTGTTGCCACCCCCCCCTCTCCAGCCATGACCTTCCCTGGCAGAGGAGTATACAGGGAGGCAGCATCCTGTCTCTTACTCATATACTTTTTTCTTCCTCAGTCCAGCATGAGTGTATTCCCCAGGCCATTCTGGGTATGGATGTCCTGTGCCAGGCCAAGTCTGGGATGGGCAAGACAGCTGTGTTTGTGCTGGCCACCCTGCAGCAGATCGAGCCCATCAATGGCCAGGTAGGTGTGGGCTTCTTTCTGGGATGGGTTCCATGTGGCAGAGCAGCCTTGGGTATCATGAAACTGCTTTGCTTTTGATTATAAGCTGGGAATTGAAACTATACTGACTGCAGTCACCACAGTTACTGCTGATTTGTTATGCAGGTGTGTAATACCACCATTAGAGATCAGTTTTAGGGTCTTAAGAGTTATGTTTGAGCTGGGCGTTGGTGGCCCACGCCTTTAATCCCAGCACTCCGGAGGCAGAGACAGGTGGATCTCTGTGAGTTCGAGACCAGCCTGGTCTACAAGAGCTAGTTCCAGGACAGCCTCCAAAGCCACAGAGAAATCCTGTCTCAAAAAACAACAAAAAAAGTTATGTTTGAATCCAGCATAGGAAGCTGAGGCAGGATTGAGAGTTCCAGGCCAAGGGAAGACCCCATTTAACAAATGTCATGTGTGGTGGGCTGCAATGTGGCTCTGTGGTAGAGCTATCCAGTAGCATGTGTAAGGTTTTGGTTTGTATCCTTAGGTGGGTAGGTGCTGGTCCTGTCAGGGCATGGCACAAGTGTGGTAAGGGCTGTGTTGTGGGTGGGCGAGAAGACATAGCAACATGGGGTAACTAACCCTTTTCTTTAGAGTCTGTGATACCATTCTCTGTTCCTGGCCTCTTGAGGGAGACAGGCTTTAGTAGCCATGAGAGAGTTTGAGGGGGAGATAGGCTTAAGGAGAAGGTGGAGATGTTTGGATCTTCAAGTGACTTGTATAGATGGAATTATCATAATAGATACACTGTGGGTAAGTGTGGATTCTGGGAAAGAATATGTTTCTTGCCTACCTCCAGGTATCTGTACTGGTCATGTGCCATACAAGGGAGCTGGCCTTCCAGATAAGCAAGGAATATGAGCGCTTCTCTAAGTACATGCCCAGTGTCAAGGTAAGCCTCTTCAGGTGCTGTGTTGGGCCTCAGCTCCAGCCCAAGCATCATTTATCAAGCTTGAGGTCAGTGGTAATTTGTGTTTCTTAAAAGCCTGATAATTTATGCCTAGCATCCACAGGCTTGTGCTGATCCAGGTGCCTCTTCTTATCAGTGCTAGCCTGTCAGGCTTGCTCCTGCTCTTTAGGCTCTCCTGGGTTCTTAATGAGGCTGGTGTGCTAGGATGGACAGTAAACAGCTTCCTTTCTGTCCCCATAGGTATCAGTGTTCTTTGGGGGCCTCTCCATTAAGAAGGATGAAGATGTGTTGAAGAAGAACTGTCCCCATGTTGTGGTGGGGACACCAGGCCGGATCCTGGCACTTGTACGGAGCAGGAGTCTGAACCTGAGGAATGTGAAACACTTTGTACTAGATGAATGTGACAAGATGCTGGAACAGCTGGGTGAGCATCCCACTGGCCTGCCTAGCAGGTTCCCCACTCAAGAATCACAGCAACTTTCTAGGGGGCCTGATGGATGGGGTAGGCAGTGGGTCACATGGGCGGCAAGACCTCAGGGCTCCTGGGAGAAACCTAAAGAAAAGTTCCAGTGTTGACAGAGTATGTGCTGCTTCTGACGCCAAGTTGAGTGGGACCATAGGCCCCGTGAGCTGCCATCCCTTTAGGACATGTAGGCACCCCCAGGGAATCTGGAGGAGTAGGGTGGCCTCTGCCACCCATCAGGGACTGGGAGAGATGGGCATGTGTCCTGGGGAGCAGCTGCAGCTCTCACGCCAGCGGCTGTCTCTGCCTCAGGCTCCCTTTCCCGAAGCATGGCTCAAGGCGCACTGGCAGGGCCGCTCCATGCTGGCAGCGAGTAAGTGGACCGCGGCTCCTCCCATGCCTGCGCTCCCGCACGCCCGCCCGCCCATCCGAGCCCAGCCCCTCAGGCAGCGGGGACACCCCTGGGCCCACTCCACCATGGCCATGGTGCCAGTATTTTCTGGCCCAGGTTGGGGAGGGCTGGTTCCTCTCTGGTATGGGTCTCATCAATCAGACAAGACACTGAGGCTTGCTGTATGTTGGCATCCCATCCAGACATGCGCCGGGACGTGCAAGAGATCTTTCGCCTGACACCCCATGAGAAGCAGTGCATGATGTTCAGTGCTACCTTGAGCAAGGAGATCCGGCCGGTCTGCAGGAAGTTCATGCAGGATGTGAGTAGGGTGACACCCCAGATGGCCGCCTGCCCACCACGGCCCCAACACCTCAGCACAGCAGCTTTGGCCCTCCCTAAGGGCCTGGGCCACTCCACGACACCCATACTGCTCTCGTGGCCTGGAGGATACTGGGAGGCCGGCGCAGCCTCCTTACTTCCCCTGGTTTGTCAAACTGGGAGCTGAGTGTGGTTACACCTACACCAGAGCAGAGCTTACATCTGGCTTTTGGGAGAGAATTGTTTACTGAGGTTGGGTGCAACAGGCCCTCTGGGAATCATCACTACAGAGGAGCTGCTCCCTAGAAGGTTCCAGGCACATGAGACACCCAGAAGTGAGTCCTGCTCGCCCCTTCCTGCTTCCCTTCCCACACAGCCCATGGAAGTGTTTGTGGATGACGAGACCAAGCTCACACTGCACGGGCTACAGCAGTACTACGTCAAGCTCAAGGACAGTGAGAAGAACCGGAAGCTCTTTGACCTCCTTGACGTCCTAGAGTTTAACCAGGTGATGCTCCCACTTGCCCACATCAAGATGAGTGCCTGTGGGTGATTCTTCATGGACCTAACTGGCATTCTCCTTCAGGTGGTGATCTTCGTCAAGTCTGTGCAACGTTGCATGGCCCTGGCCCAGCTCCTAGTGGAACAGAACTTCCCAGCCATTGCTATTCATCGAGGCATGCCCCAGGAGGAGCGGTGAGTGCATGATGTCCACCATGGCCAAGGATGCCCCTGGGACCAGTGTTTGATGCCTCTGTCTCCCACCCTAGCCTGTCTCGCTACCAGCAGTTCAAGGACTTCCAGCGGCGCATCCTGGTGGCTACCAATTTGTTTGGCAGAGGTATGGACATTGAGCGAGTCAACATCGTCTTCAACTATGACATGCCAGAGGACTCCGATACTTACCTTCACCGAGTGAGTGCCCCCTCCCTGGATGGGTGGACCAGGGCCCCGCCCTTCCTCAGATCCTGAGGGGTGCCCATCTCCTGACCCTATCTCTCTGCAGGTGGCTCGTGCTGGTCGCTTTGGTACCAAAGGCCTGGCAGTCACTTTTGTATCTGATGAAAATGATGCCAAAATCCTCAATGATGTTCAGGATCGGTTTGAAGTTAATGTGGCAGAGCTTCCAGAAGAAATAGATATCTCCACATACAGTAAGTAGCTAGGGCCATTCTTCTGGGCACAAAAGAGCTGGGCTTCCAGAGCAACAGCCCTCCTCCCTCACTGCCTCACTCTTTCTTGTCTTTACAGTTGAACAGAGCCGATAACCATATGTGTAGCCAATGCACCATGGCCACCCTCTTTCCCACCTGCTGCTTCAGATCCTCTTCCTAGGTGACAAATGGGTGTATCTTTTTATATTGTTCCAAAGCTGTAGCTGTGTAAGAATAAACTTTTACTGTGGATGCCTGGCTCCAGACCTATCTTTCTTCTCTTGGTCAGCATTTCATGGACTCAGAGGCCAAGCCAGCAGTCATGCCCACCAACAAGCATGCCACCTTTTTTTCCATCAGTATATTTAATTTTATGTGTCAACATTGAGAGGTTTACAGGTTTAAAAAATATTACAAAACATAAAACCTTTATAACAGTGAGACCCTTCCTCCCTGGATGTGGGGCAGCTGGGCCTCTGTACCGTGAGCTTTGGCAGCAGGCAAGATCATTGATGGCTGACATAGCATCAGTCTTCGCTTAAAGAAATTGAACCCAGCACCCTGGCCTCTTATGTGCCAAGGTCAAGGGACCTGCATCTGTCCCCAGGACTGCCTGTTTCATGTACCAGGGCAGTGGGCTAAGGTGGTGCTGGCTGGCTTCTGTTTCTGTGGTAGGCAGTAGCTGTGATGGGGCAGAGAGGCAACCAGAAGCAGGACCAGTGGCCCCTTTACCCTGTTACAGGGCTCATTGCCCTGTAACATCATGTAACATGGGTGTACATCCCTTCTTTATCAAAAATGGGGCCAAAGGTGGGAAGATGGCAGGAACAGAAGACAGAAGAGTGACAGCCTTGAGTGTATGCTGGTGACCTGGCTGGAACCTGCCTTCATATCCCTGATTCTGAGGGCCTGAGAGCCTGCAGAAGAAGGAGCCTTTGAAGCTGAGCTCTCAGGAAGGAGTGTCCTCCCAGCCCTGCCCCAGGCCAACCCCTTACCCGTGTGTGACTCTGGCTGGTGCCAGTGCCTGTTGTGGAAGAGCTGAACTCTGAGTACTTGTTGCCAGCAACCATGCAGGCCCACTTTCGGTACTCTTCCCTCACCTGTGAGCCCAAAGCACCGGGTTAGGGGGGAAAGGAGCTGGACTTGGGAATCAGGCCTGGCTCTATCTCCCTTCATCCCAAGCTTTTCCCACAGCCAGCTTTGGCTCTGGTCTGCCTACCTTCTTATTGAGCAGGCAGAGCATCAAGTAGAGGAAGAGGCCCTGCAGGCAGTTGAGCAAGGTGAAGATGTAGGACAGCCATGTGCTGTGGGGGTTGAAGAGAAACAGGCCGAAGACCCAGGTACAGCCCAGCACAGTGAGCTGGGCAATGGCTGTGATGGTCAGCACCCTGTGGGTTGGGTAGATGCAGCTAACAGTCTGTCTCCAGCTCTCCCAACTCCCCTCCCTGCTCAGGCCCTAGCCCGCCCTCCTCAGCCCTGCTCTGCCTGCCTTCCCCACTGTCCCTCTCACCGTGCCTTCCTTAATTGCTTCATGTTTGGGTTGATTTCAGAAAATTTCATTGTGAGCTTCCAGACAGTAACCACAAAAATGGCAGAGTTACACTGAGTGGGGAATATGGACCATAGGTTAGAGGGCTGCAAGTGATTAGCAGTCTTAAGTGATTAGCTGCTCAGGTCCCCAGTACCCAGAGAGTACTTACAAAAATGATGAAGGCCAAGGGTCCCACAAAGCTCCAAAGAAAGCCCTCCTTATGGTTCAACCAGCAGCTGGGAGAGAAGGTGAGGTGCCTGTCAGTGGCCCTGCCTGCCAGGTCCCAGCACTCCACTCCAGCCTTACCTCCACCTCCAAATCATACTCACTATGTTTGTTGCCCATATCCATCCATTTTGGCAGCTGCTGAGATAGCCACGATGAGGAAGGGTACCCCATAGCCGAACAGGCAGCGCCATTGTGTACTCAGTCCTTGGCCCTGGAACACGCGCACTACAAGGAAGTAGAGCTCTATACCTTCCAGGGCCATCCAGCAGAAGGCTGCCAAGAAGAAGTAGTGTAACATCATTGCCACCAGGCGGCATCGCAGGCTCACCTGTGGGGGGCGGGGGAGCTGTCAGTGCAGTGTAGGACCAATGGCCTCCAAAGCTAGCAGCTGGGCTCCATCAGAGCCTGACCTTCCACACAGCCCCAGGACAGACCAGGCTAACCTCCTCCTAGGTCTTGACTCCAAGCCCAAGTGAGGTCAGAACAGTAACATACCTCACCCCCTTCATTCTCGATGCCCACCAGGAATATGACAGAGCCCAGGAAAAGGCAGATGCACAGGTGCAGGTGCACCACGGTTCGAGAGCTCTGGATGGGTTTCACCAGCAGGAAGGTCAGGATACACAGCAGCAGGCAGATGAGCGAAAGTGACAGCCCCACCTTGGTGATCAATTCCAGTCTCGGATCCTAGGGGCAGGCAGCTCAGGATGAGAGGTGTTCCTTTACACCTGGGGGTTGGGAGGTGCTCATCTTTTCCTACACTCTGAACTCCTACCTTAGCACCCATGAGAAGTCAGAGGTCCCACATGCCTGTCTTAGACCACAGGGCCAACTCCTGGCTAACAATTCCAGCTGACCATGAGATCCAGGTTCTGGCCATGTTCAGAAAGCTATACTAACCTGGGATAATTATACATGATGTTTTTTTTTTTTTTTTTTTTTTTTTAAATCACATTGATGTATTTGTGTGGAGGGGGTGAAGTATCTGCCCGCTACTGCATGTGTTCTCTGGAGACGAAACTCGGGTTATTAGGGCTGGCTGCCTGTACGCACCTTTACTTACTGGCCCTTCTCATCTGCCTGAACTGGTGCATTTTTTAGCAGTACCTCACATTTGTGCAGGGACTGAGAAGCAGGGCACAGGGCTATCCAAAGGGACTTACTTGAGCAACCACTGGGGTACACCCTTTTGAGTGGAGCCTACGGTCCTGCCTAGGCAGGCACGATACCTATGGTTTCAGGACTTACCTGCACGTGGTACTGGGCCATCAGGATGGCAAAGCTGCTCAGGTGGTTGCAGTGGCAGATAGTGCCGTTCATTGAGCAGCCGTCAGTGGACCAGTGCCCATTCCCATCGTCACCAGTGTCCAAGAAGGCACATATCAGGTCTTCACGTGGCCGCTTTGTTGACCTCGCCTATGGACAAATAGGTGATGAGGGTGTCCAGAACATACTTAAGGTCTGGGGGTAAGCAGAGGACCTTGGCTTTTGGTCGCATAAATATGTCTACTCTGCGCAGAGAGCATAGGGAGCCAGCAATGGAACGACAGAACACCAGTCCCTGCCGTGAGGTGAAGCAAATCACGAGCAGTTAACAGTTAATGCCAAAGAAATTACAAGAATCAATGGGGAATGGTTGCTTACAGATTGTAATTTAAAAACAAAAACTAGGTTTACTGAATGTATTTCAGGGGCTGTCTATCTAAATTTAAGAGTCATCCATTCCAGGTTGCACTCAAACTCACTGTGTGGTTGAGGATGACACTGACTTTTAACTTCTTGCTTCTGCCTCCTGAGTGTTTGGATTACATTTTATGTAGAACTTACATCTTTGGATCCAGGGCTTCACATATGCTAGACAAATATTCTACTAAATGAGCTATAGCAGCAGCCTAGAGTAATTTTGAAATTTTAAAGTTAACATGTATGTAGCCAGATCTGTGACACCATTCATTTATTGAGTTGTTTGTTTATTGTCAAGCCAGGGTTTCTCTGTGTAGCCCTGGCTGTCCTGGAAAACTCTCTGTAGACCAGGCTAGCCTCGAACTAGGCCATCTGCCTACTTCCCAAGTGCTGGAAGTGTACCACCACTGCTGGGCCTGTGACATACACCTTTAAACCACTCACAACATAGGTGGATCATAAGAGCACTGGATGTTCCAGAGGACCCAGATTCAATTCCCAGGACCCATATGGTAGCTCATAACTGTCTAATTCCAGTTCCAGGGAGTGATGCCCTCTTCTGGTGTCCACAGGACCAGGCATACAGGCAGTGCACAGACATATATGGAGGCAAAACACCATTGACATAAAATCCTTTTTAGAATTACATTGATGGGGGCTGCACTTGTTTTACTCCTACAATGTAGGGTGTGGAGATCCATCTCAGGCCAGGGATTGAATTGATTGAGGCTTGGTGAAAAGCGCCTTTGCCTGCTGAGCCATCTTGCAGGGTCAGACTGTAAGGCTTTTTTTTTTTCTTTTTCCTTAACGTTTTATGATACTGAGGAGCAAACCCTGGACCTTACCATGACAGGCAAACATTCTACCAGTGAGTCAACTACTAGCTTTGCCTGCCAGTTTTCATTTGTTCATTCATTCATTCATTCATTCATTCATTCATTCATTCAATTCAGCAGTACTAGAGGCTGAACCCAGTCTCTTTCTGAATTGTAAGCAAGTATGCACCACTGAGTTTGAAGACAAGGCCTTGTCCAGGCTGGCCTTAAATTCATTCTAGTTCAAGCAGGCCTTGAACTTGAAGCTCCTGCCTCTCAGTAGCTGTAAGTAAAACCTGTGCCACAAGACCCAGCTCATGTTTTGTTCACTTTTTGAGACAGGGTCTCTCTCCAGCGTTCTATCCTGAAACTCTGGAGACCAGGCTGGCCTCACTCAGAGACCCTCTTAAGTGCTAGAATTAAAGGCATGTATCACCATCCCCAGCTGTAATTTTAGTTTCTTTGTGTGTTTCTGGTGGTATTTGTTTTGTGTATATGTTGGAGGGAAGGAGTCAGTACCTTTGGGGAGTTGGTTCTCTCAAGAAGGGCCACCTTGACTTTGGTTAGCACGTGAGCAGCAGGGCATCCCCCTGCCCCCTCCCCCCTGTTGAAGGACTCACAGGATGAGAGAAGTTGAATGTGACGTTCGAGGCAAGTTTCCTAGTGTCGGTGTTGGTCAGAAAGATGGAATTGATGTTTGAGAGGAGCGTAAGTGAAACATTTAGAAGTGGGCTTTCGAAGCGCTCCTCCAATATATCCCGGCTCTGGTTCAGGTGCATGGAGGCATCAGCTAGCAACTTCTGCATGTTTGGACTGGACAGGATGCCTGCCAAGGAGTGGCCTGGGGACAGACATGCAGGCTTGCTTCCCATCCTTCTCCGTATGCCACCCTCCCAGTAAGGTCCTCCCCGATGGGCTGGTGTCTGCCTGACCCACATCCGACCTGACTCTGGCTCCCCTGGACCCTACCGTTTTCTGAGCTTTTGGCTCCAGCTGCCACAGCCCAGTCCAGTTTCACCCAAGCTTGGCTATGGTACACTGTGGTGATATCTTTGTTGTCTTGCTCCTTGATCATCAACGACAGTTCTGAAGAGACAGGGACAGTGGCTGACTGTGGAAATCAAGGATAGCATGGTACCTGGGGGTGAGCCTGGAGGGAGCCTTACCAGTGTTTGAGGGCGACGTGTAGGTGAAGGAGCCTTTGGGTAAGAACTGGGCCAAGGTCCGAAGGGTTTGTTCCATGTACTTGAGCAACTGGATGGCTACTTGGTGTCGGTCAGTGGGGTTTAGAGTTTCTATATCCGTGGGGTCTTCCAACAGCTTGTCCATGGCCTCAATGACTTTCTGGAGGTGATAAGTGAAAGAGTTGTTGAAGTTTTGAACCACAGGAACTGACTGACAGACCCCAACCACCCTTCCCATCAGTAGACATGGAAAAGCCACATGGGTTACCTGGGGAACCAGCTGGAGGGATACATTAAGACTTACACAGTAGCCAAACTAGAGATGAGGTTTATGACCCTGTGCACTTGGTTGTCACACCAGCTCATATACACCAGCAGGTACACTGACTGCCAATGCCCTGCTGAGTCATCCTCCCAGCCCCTTACTGGGGATTCTAGGCTGGTGCTCCACCACTGAGCCACACCCCCAGCCCCTCACTGGGGAATTCCAGACTGGTGTTCTACCACTGAGCCACACCCCACAGCTCCTCACTGGGGAATTCTAGACTGGTGTTCTACCACTGAGACACACCCCCAGTCCTATAATCTGGTAATTACTTGTTTACTTGTTGAACTTTTGATCTTCCTGCCTCTACCTTCTGGGGTGACAGGCATGTCATACACTACCACACCTCATTTATTTACTGCTAGGGGTTAAGCCAGGGTGTTTTGCGTGTTGGGCAAGCATTCTACCAACCGCACTATCCCAGGCCTCTCATTGTTTTCCTTTTTGATACAGTCTAGCTGAGTAGCTCAGGAACTTAAGATCCTTCTTCAGGCTCCAAGCAGCATAGGCCACCACACTCTACTTAACTCAGTCTTAACTGCTCCAGTCACTGCCATTACAACCCTTGTGTCACAGCCACATACATGGCTCCACATGTCAGACCCCTGTGCCTCAAACCACAAGCACTGCTTGGATGCATGGAACACTGTCTGTCTCCATTGCAGCCTGTGGTTTCTTCCCTGTTGCACTAGAGTCCCCAGAGTTCTCCCTCACCTGAATGGTGTGGTTGGCCGTGGCTAGATCAAAGTCTTTGAGCAGATTCCGGACTTCAATGGAGAAGCGAGAAAGACTCTGGGAAGGGAAACAGTGGGTCATGGGTGGGCAGCAGCACAGCTGAAAGGGGTGGACAGACTGTAAAGGGATCCAGCCTGCTGATCCCCACTGGCTACTCACTTGGCTCTGGGCTGTGGGCAGCAGTGTCCATGTCGGGAAGGATGGCTCTGTGGGGACAGAACTGTGGTTCAGTAATCTCAGAGTGCACTTGCAGGGCATGGAGGTGCTGAGTGGCTAGGTCAGGTACCTTGGCACTTAGTGTTCTTTGGGCCATTGAGGGACCCAGAAGTTGGCTTCCAACCTGGACGGCAGCGGCACTTGTAGGAGCCTGGGGTGTTATCACAAATGGTGGAGCTGTGACACTGATGCTGCCCAGAGCTGCACTCATCAATATCTGGGGACACAAAAAAGGGGTTAGGTCCTTTCCTGTATGGTCCCAGTCCCACTCCCTTCCTAGGTATTGCTACCATCCCTGGCCTGAGGTACTGATCCCTGGTGGCCTCAGTGAGTGGTACATGGTGGCTTAGGGAATGTGTAGGGCCTCCGGGGAATGTATGTGTGAAAGTGGGAACGATGAAGGCATCTGGGCCCCCCAGGGGGGATCCCCTTGGAATCCCAGCTCCTTTCCTGGACCCCACAGCTTTCTAAAGTCAACCTCAGGAGATTAAGGTCTGACCAACAGAGCCTCCTTTCATTCCCTTGAGTAAACATGGGGACTGAAGAGACGCCTCGGAGTTAACCTTTGGGTTCAGGATCCACATCAGGCGGCTCAGAAGCCCCCTGTGACTTCAGTTCAGAGCGTCTAACAGCCTCCTGTTATATATATATTTTAAAACAGGGTCTTTATGCATGGCCCTGGAACTCATAGAGATAAGCCTGCTTCTGCCTGCCTTCTAAGTGCTGGGATTAAAGGTGTGTGTCACCACACCTGGCTAAAACTAATCTTAAACAAGACTGTGGGTCCTTAGGAACGTGGCATCCGGACCTTCACACATTGTGTTGGTTGGGCCATTGGGGGATCCAAGAACAGGTTTCCAGCCTTGGCGACAGATGCAAGCATAGGTGCCCAGCTTGTTGACGCAATGGGTGGATTGGTGGCAGTAGTTTTGCCCGGAGGTGCATTCATTCACATCTGGGAACAAAACCAAAGGGTCATCCCTACCCCCACTCATATATACCTCCATGTACTGTACCCACTTTCCCATCTTCTCACTGCTTCAAATTCAGTTGCCACCTAGTGACCTTCTACTTTACCTGCAGAGCACCTCACGCTGGCCTCTGCAGGACAGGCCTAGCAAGGATCAGGGGACCCAGTTTATAGGAGGTAAAACCAGGAAGCAGATTGAGTCATGGGGTTGGACTTCTTGACCAAGGGCCTCTTGTTGCTCTCTAACCCTTCTCAGAATAGGATGTGATACTGTTCTCACAGATGAGGAAGAGCCACGCCCTGGGAACTCCACAGAGCTTCCGGGCTCAGAACATCCTGGGGCCTCCCTACCCTGTAGAAACATGTTGAGAACTGAACCTCGGGGGAGTCTTCATAGTTCTTGGAGCTCCTGGAACCCTGCAGAGCTTCTCTCTCTTCAGGCTACAGCCCTGCCTCGCCTCCTTCCAGCTCCTGTCCAGTCTTGCAGCTGCTTCTGGGGGGTATATCTGTGCATACCTTCGGGGCCTCAGCCTGGGCTTGAGGTCAGGTGACACCTGCATGAGTAGCTGCCCTGGGTATTGGTGCAAATGCTGTGTTCCTATAGACTCTGGGATTCTGGCCCTCATCCATCTCATGAGAAGAAGCAGAGGGGATGTGTGCTTGAAATTGAAGGCTCAGGATCGGCTAGGTTCATGACACAGAAGCATCTGGAACATTCCAGTCTCCTCCTTGTGGGCACACCCCTTTCTAATTCATATGAAGGCATCATATAGGGTCTGTGGTAGCTCTGACTCTGTTGTCCAGATGTGGAGGGGAGTAGTAGAGAGTTCCCTAGCTGCCAGCAATAGAAGTGTGGCAGCTATCAGTATCCCAGCCTGAAGACTTGGGACAAAGGCCACATATGACCCTGAAGAGCCAGTGCAAGGGAGAGTACAGCATGGCAGCCTCTGTCTCCATTCTTACAGGGTACTGTCCCTTCGGGAGAGTTCTACATGGAATTCCAGGAACCTTCAGGACCATGTAGTCCCACTCATAGGAGGTTCCCAGACCTCTGTTCTGTTCAGTGGGGAAGGATTGAGACTTGCTCCGGAGCTACACCCCCTCTACAAAGCTCAATAGAAGGGGCAGGGAAAGAAGGGATAAGACTACACAAGCCAGGGTACCACACAGTGGGAACCAGCCTGTGTGGTGACAAACTGATGTGCAGCCAAGCATCACTTGGCTGAAGTTATAGAGGATAAGAACATGTATTTTATTGAAGCCAGCCTTTCAATATCACAGTGCCCAGAAAGGAAGCTGTGTCTACGGGAGTAGGAATGACAGACATTTCTGTCCTCTCTCCTGTCATAGTCACAGACCTGGAGAAGCACTGAGTGTAGCCTCGACTCTTTATCCTGAATTGCCTGGCCTGGCAGCTGTGGGTTGACATTGTCAGGTGAGAGTAGGTTCTGGGGCGGTGGTTCTCCATAACACCTTCTCTTGCACAGTGCTTGCCTTCAACTCTGATTGTGTGTGGGGTTGATGTCACCCTGCCCAATCTGGCCACACCATTCTTTCTATTCTGTCTTCAAGGAACCATAATTGTTGGGGATAGTCAGAATGATGATTGGCTGACCAAAAAGGGGGTCCAGGCACCAACTGTTTTCTTCCAGCAGGAGCAATGACAGGGAATGTGGCCTACCCTTGGATGTCTTTTCTCCTGGGTCTCCAGGCTGTGTCCACGGGTGTACTGCAGCTTGCTGCTTAGGGAGGTTTTCAGGCACAGCAGCAACTGTGTGGATCCCGGAGGGGGCAGGTGTCACCCCAGTGTCCACTGATGCTGGGAAGAGGACAGACCCTGCAGTGGAACGTGCTCATGGTAGAGGCAGAGTATTCTGAATACCATCCCTTTGGTTTATGCAAATGAGAAGCAGATGGGCAGAAGGATGTTGACTTATGAAAATGAAATGTAGATGGGCAGAAGGATGGTGGCTTATGAAAATGAGATGCAAATGAGCAGAAGAAACTTCTGAGCTTCCAGAACCAAGTAGTAGAAAATGAGCAGAGGATATGGCCAAGAGCTCCTGCCATCCTTCGAGTGTGATCCAGGTTGGCGTACCCTCCAAGCAGTGCATGTCGGAGTGCTAGACGATGACTCAGCAAGTGCCTTAGGCATTGAATGGGTTATGCTCTAAGATGGATGGATGCTCTCTGTCACCTTCCTTGAGGTCCATGGGGACTCCTGTGTCACCTCATGTATTGATACATTTTTTCTCTGAAAATAATCTGTGTGTGCATGTGTATCTGTGTGTCTTTCTCTTTCTCTTTGAGACAGGGTCTCATTATGTAGCCTTGGCTGTCCTGGAACTCACTCTGTAGACCAGGCTGGCCTCAAACTCACAGAGATCTGCCTGCCTCTACCTCCCAAATGCTGGGATTAAAGGTATGTACCTCATACCTGGCTTTGAAAATCTCTCTTGCACTCAAAGAGAATGAACTTTTTCCAGATCTTGCCATCAAGTTAATAATCTGCCTTGAGATTAGTTAAAACTTAATCTGCTGTCCTACTATCTAAATTTAACTTGCACTTAAGAGAACAATGTTACCAACATTACTGTGCCTTGGATGGCCCATGTCATCAGCTTTACAGCCTAAGCTAACACATACATAGCTTTAATCTTACACTATGTTCTCTTCTATGCTCCTGACCAAAAATAATGCATGTGTGCCTGTGCCTGTGTGTGTGCACACGCGCATGCGTGTGTGCGCGAGCTCGAGCATGTATTGTGGTAATCTTTACGGAAAACAACCAATAGGTTGGAAACAACTTTACACAACAGATATCCACCATAAATGCTGTAAACAGCATGTGAACATAGGTTGGTAATGTCTGTTTGCTGTTCTGGGTAAATAAAGTTATTTTTCCCTTACAAAGTTCTCTTAAAGATTTCTGTAGAGAATTCCTCATTCCTTCCCCATGCTGTGTTTTCTGTACTGTATAATAAAGAGCAAACCCCTTTGTTAAGGACAGACAGAAGACACAGGAAAAGAAACATGGAGAGTTCATTTTGTTTTGGTTTTGTTTTTCAAGACGGGGTTTCTCTGTGTAACAGCCCTGGCTATCCTGGAACTCACTCTGTAGACCAGGCTGGCCTTGAACTCACAGAGATCCTCCTGCCTCTGCTTCCTGAGTGCTAGGATTAAAGGCGTGTACTAACTAGCCTGGCTATTTTTGTTTCCTTTGAGACAGTGTCATTCTACATAACTCTGGCTGTGCTGGAACTCACTACATGTTCGTTCCCTGACTCAAACTCCAGAGTGTTGGATGACAGATATGCACTGCGCAGCCAACCAAACAGGGCTTTCTGAGTCACACTTGGGAATCAGGACGAGACCCCTGCAGGGAGGTCCCAAATGTCCCTCCTCCCTGAATCTCTATGCTTGTAGATGTGACACATGGCCCAGAACAAATCACAGGGGCAGAACCAACATCAGGACCCCGCCTTGTGACTGCTGAGTGATTACGCTGGTGGCCGTGAAGATGACTTGGGCAAGTTGAGGGTATCAGTGGGCTCTTACCTTCACATGTGTTCTCACTCCTGTTAGCAAAAGATTTCTTCCCAGAAACGAGCTTATATCCCTGGTTGCATACGCAGTGGTAGCTCCCCACTGAATTCTGACACGTGGCAAATGGTCCACAGATGACTGTTACACTATGTTTTAAACATTCGTTGATGTCTACAACAAAACAGGCAGAAGGGTCACACCCCAGATCTCCCACCCTACCTGACTACATCATGGAACTGCTGATGTTTCAGCTTTGTTGAGGGACGTTAAGAGCTGTGCTCATGAGGCTGTGCTATAGCTTGAGCTAGCTATTCCTGAAGGCTTCCAGCAGGTCAGCTCTGCTCCTCTCAGAGCTCTGGGTAGACAATACCAATGTGGGGTGGACTGGAAGGCCAGCCTCCTCCCCAGTTCTAGAGCCAAGTTCAGGCCCAGAGCCCTGAGCCCAGGCCCCTCACTCAGGAAGTCCTACTTGTTCACTTCGTGCCTCCCCTTTCTTTTTCTGTATTTGAAGCTGATACCTCTGACCCCAGACCACACCTTGTCATCTCTCTATGTGCCCATCCCCAAGCCTCTGTACCGTCACAGCTCCCTGAGAAGTCAATGGTGAGCCCGTCACCACTTGGGGCGAAGCCTGACTTGCATCGACAGCGATTCTCAACACATTCTGAGTTCAAAGGGCACGAGGGGATACAGCCTGTGGGGACAGACACTTTGGTAAGAAAGTAAAGGAGGCCCTCAGAGGGGAACTGCCTCCCAGAGCAGAATCTTAGAAAGGTTTGAGGGTGGTCTTAAACTTCCCCAGCAGCTGCCCATCTCCTCCTGAGGCTCTGTGTTTGGCAGCAGGGTTCCCTCCCCAGCTCCGGCCTTGGAGCCGTCTGTCTGATGGACTTACGCCTAGCCGTCTGGGTCCAAGCTCCTGCCAGGTTCAGTAGGATATACACCACTGCAACAAAACAAAAGATGGTCAGCTGGACCCCAAAGCAGGGACAGGAGGCCAAAGTTGTGCATCTGTAGGCAGCAGGTTCTGACCCTGTCCAGGCTGAGACTCTGTAGTTAATACTCAAAACAGACCCAGTAGACAGGGATAATGAATGACACTTGGGAGGTGAGGCAGGAGAATTAGGAACTCAAGTCCAACCCCAGGCTACATACTGAGACCCTGTCTCAAAAAAAAAAAAAAAAAAAAAAAAAAAAAAATCAACCAGGGCTGAGGAGATGGTTCAGTAGTTAAGAGCACTGGCTGCTCTTCTACAGGTCTTGAGTTCAATTCCCAGCACCCACATGGCAGTTCACAACCATCAATAATGAGATTTGATGTCTTCTTCTGGTGTGCAGGCAAACATGCAGACAGAACGCTGTATACATAAAATAAATAAACAGATCTTTTTAAAAAAAGCTAAACAAACAAATGAGCAAGCAAACAGCAACAAGTTTCATAAAGTCAAGTAATGGGTGCATACCTGTAATCCCAATATTTGGGGGGAGCACAAGAGGATCAGAAGTTTGAGGTCATCTTCGGCTACATAGCAAGGTTAAGACCAGCTTAGGCTACAAGAGTCTATCTCTAAAACAAGCAAAACATAAAGAAAAAAAAAAGGGGGGGGGAGAAGCAAACAAAAAGCCAGGGGAGAGTTTCCAGATACAAGTTTGAAACTAGCCTAAGTTACACAATGAGATTCTGCCTCAGAAACAAGACAAAGAGAAAAACTACAAAACCCATGTGTTGCTTTCTGTGGCTCAGACACTTACAGCCAAAGGATCGGTACCCATAGTACTGACAGAGGTACTTGGAGATGGGGGTGATGGTGATCTCCCTTTACGGCAACAAACCCTACAAGGGTAAGGTATTAACACTTTGTTTTGAGACATAGTCTGTCTCTATAGCTCTGGAACTCACTATGTAGATCAGGCTGGCCTTGAACTCACAGAAATCTGCCTGTCTCTGCCTTCTGAATGCTGGGATTAAAGGTGTGCACCACCACTGCCTGGTTTAACATTGTCTTTTACACTTACTCTTTGGTCTCAATGCTGTGAAAGAACAACATAATCAAAAGCAAGCTGGGCAGGAAAGGGTTTATTTGCTTACAGGTTACAGTCTATTTTCAGGGAAAGTTAAGGCAGGAGACTGGAGCCAGGGACTGAAGCAGAGACCTTGGAGGAACGCTACTCACTAGCTTGCTCCTCATGGCTTGCTCAACCTGCTCTTTTGTTTTGTTTTGTTTTTCAAGACAGGGTTTCCCTGTGTAACAGCCCTGGCTGTCCTGGAACTCACTCTGTAGATCAGGCTGGCATTCACCTGCCTCTGTCTCCTGAGTGCTGGGATTAAAGGTGTTCGCCACCACCACCCAGCTCAACCTGCTCTTTTATACAACCTAGGATCACCTGCCCAGGCGTTATTTTTTAATCAAAACATAGAAACCGAATCAAGACAAAGTGTAAAAACAAACAAACAAAAAGGGCTGGCCCTTCACACGTCAATTAGTAATCAAGAAAATACTCCACAGGCTTGCCCACAGGTCAACTTGTGGGATTTTCTCAATCGAGGGTCCCTCTTCCCAAATGAAACTATAGCTTGTGTCAGGCTGACAAAACACTAGCCAGCAAATGTTTGTTGTGTGTGTGTGTGTGTGTGTGTGTGTGTGTGTGTGTGTGTGTGTGTGTGTGTGTGTGTGTGTTTGCCACTATAACCTATGTGGATGTTTCTCTTTTCACCACAAGAAATCCCATGGATTAAATTTAGGTCATCGGGTTTACATACAGCAGCTGCCTTTACTGGCCCACCTCATGTAGCCCAGGTTGGCCTGAAACTGGCTATGTAGCTAAGGATGACCTTGAACTCCTGACCCTCTGGCCTCTAACTTGTTGGAGCTATCGTGGTTTATATTGTTTTCTCTCATAATACTGGGATGAAACCCAAGGCCTTTGCATGCTAGATAAGTGCTCTACCACTGAGTCTCATTCCCAAACCCTCTTTTTACTTCATTCCTAAATTGTTCAGGCTGGGCTTGCACTTGAAATCCTCCTGCCCCAGTGACCTGAGGAGCTGGGACAGGCCTGTGCCACCAGGCCAGATCCTTGTTGTTCTTTAGGTAAGAGTGACAGCTTGGACTATGTCTGCCAGGTCCCATCCAAGCTCTGACACTCCAACACCACACACATCTACCCACTGTTAACCACATGGTGGTGACAAGGCAGAGGGGCTCCTCGCACACAGGAAGTGGCTGTGGTGGAGGGGGTGACTGCTGAACACAGCCTTGTTACCTTGCTGTCGTTGGCAGGCATCCCACCATGGCAGAACTGGGAGCCTTAAGCAACAGAGCAGTCACTAGAGACAGACATCCAAGAAGACAGAGGCAAGGAGAAAAGACATGAGGAGGAGGAAGAGAGAACAGGGATCCGGGCGGGCGGGAGTGCAGAACCCAGTGACTCGAGGCTGAGGGGGAGGCTCTTAAAACTTACACAGAATTCAAGGGCAGCCTGGGTAACTTAGTGGAAACCTGACTGAAACAAGGTCCTGGGTTCCATCTCTGGGACCAAAAAATGAAAGGGGGTGGTGGTTGGAGGAGGAAGAAGAAGAGAAAGCTCAGATAAGGGCACTTGCTGCCAAGCCTTATAACCTGACTTCTGAGTTAATAGCTGGGACCCACATGGTGGAAGGAGAGAATTGACCTTTATGTTTGTGTGCCATGACATGTAAGCACACACACATGCACATATCCACCCACACAAAAAATAAAATGAAAATTAAAAAAAAAAAAATTGGACCGGCCGATGGTAGCACACTCTTTTAATCCCAGTACTCGGGAGGCAAAGACAGGCAGGTCTCTGTGAGTTCGAGATCAGCCTAGTCTACAGAGCAAGTTCCAGGACAACCAGGGCTACAAAAGAAACCCTGTCTCTAAAACAGCCCCTGGGGGGGGGGGCGCATCTGGAGAGATGGCTCAGCAGATAAGAGCACTGGCTGCTCTTTCAATGGACAGGGTTTAATTTCCAGTGCCCACTTGGTGATTCACAACATTCTCTAACAACAGTTCCAGGCATTTCAGTGCCGTCTTCTGGTCTCCAAGGCTACTAGGCATTCACATGGTACATACACATATAGGCAAGCAAAACAATCATGCACACAAACTAAATAAATCTAAAAAGAGAGAGACTGGAAACCAAGTGCAGTAGTACAGCCCTGTAATGACAACTACTTGAGATGCAAAGGCACGAGGATTCAAAGTTCCCAACCTGGCCTACAGAAGAGCCTGCCTCACAATAAAAATAGAGAGAAAGAGTGGGGTGTAGTATGTGTGAAGATGTGGGCCTGGCAAGGTGTGAAGCCCTGTTTCCCTCTCAGTACAGAAGAGGGGGGAAAGAGGAAGTGTCTGAGAAGCAGGGGGCCTGGGGAGAGCCTAGGGGACAGAGTTGCTCCCAAAGTGGAGAGTTCAGTAGCAAGGGAAGAGTTCTAACAGGAGACCCGGAGGGAGCACTAGGGTGAAAGGTTGGTGGGGAGATGGAGTGATTTACCCACCACTGGGCTGGCTGCATGCCAAAATCTTAGGGGGTCCTGGGGTCAGCCAGTAACAGCAGAGTTGGGGGGCAGTGTCTCTCAGAGGGCTTCAGTCTTTGTGTGATTGGATTCCCCCTGAGGCCAATGGAGGGCCAGAGGCTCCAGGTGACATTCACCCCCTCAATCCTGGGGCACCCCAGCCAGGCAGCTGTCCCCTGAAGTCAGAATTCCTCTTTCTTCCTCCTCTTAGGCCATAGAGCTGGATTTCTCCCCCCACCCCCACCAGAACCCAGTTCCTCTTTGTGGGACAGACCACAAAATGACCTTGCCTCCAGGGTGGGCCCCAGGGCAATCCACAGTTCGAAAAGCATAGTACCAGTATGTTCCTCTCTTCATGTGACCAACTTGATTTCTGAGACAGGGTCTAAGTGAACCTGCATTCATCAAGCAGGCTAGGCTGGCCAGCCAGCCACAGGGCTCTATCAGCCTCCCTGCTACAACACTGAGATCACAGGTTCCATGGGTCTTTTCCTGATAGAACTCTCTTCCAGCCCTCAAGTAACTTTCTGAAAAATAATATTGATTTATTTTTGTGGGTATGGATGTTTTGTCTGCATGTATGTTGCCTGGTGCCTAGGGAGGTCCTGGAATTGGAGTTAAAGATGGTTGTGAGCCACCATGTGGTTACAGGGAACTGAACCCCCATTTTCTGGAAAGACAACAAGTGCTCTTAACCACTGAGCCATCTCTCCATCCCCTTAAGCAACTGCTTTAAGACTCAGAACCACCAGGCGTTGATGGCACATGCCTTTAATCCCAGCACTCAAGAGGCAGAGGCAGGAGGATTTCTGTGAGTTTGAGGCCAGCCTGGTCTCCAGAGCTAGTGCCAGGATAGGCTCCAAAGCTACACAGAGAAACCCTGTCTCGATAAACAAAAACAAAAACAAAAACAAAAAAAAAAAGACTCAAAACCATGGCAGAGTGAGTGTGGTGATAGAGGCCCAGCACTGGTGAGGCAGAGGCAGGTGGAACTCTGTTGGAGGCCAGCCTGCTGCACCTAAGGAGCTCTAGGACAGCCAATGCTACATAGCAAGACCCTGTCTCAACAACAACAACAAAACAGAAGTAGGGAGACCATCACAAGTTCGAAACTAGTCCGGGCTACATAGCTACAGTGCCAAACCCTGTCTCAAAAACAAAACCAAAAAAACTCAAAATGAAGTCAGGCCTAGTTGCACAAGTCTGTGATCTCAGCCCTCAGAAGGGGAATGAGGATCAGAAGTCCAAGGTCATCCTTAACTACCATGAAATCTTGTCTCCAAAGAAACCAGGAAAAAGACTCAGCAGCAGCAGGAGGCAGGGGCTTGGGTCATTGTCCAATCTCCACCAAGACAAAGTGAGGCTGGGAGCTTGCAAACAGATGAGTGGTTAAGCCAGGCTGGGAAAGG